GGTCCTGTTTTCCCCTTCGGCCTTTTGCAAAATCCTCTTCAATTTGAAGAACTAGTGGAATTTGAAAAACCATTTTGCAAAAAACCCTCCAGCTTGCATTTCCACTGCATGCTATTCACCTTATTCGATTCAGGCTCTTGCAACTCAGCTTTGTTTAATTCAGCTGGGTCCGTTCCTGTCGCTTGATGAATAGGTGGGTGACGCTGCAGATCGGGGGTGCACAAGAGAAGGTGTGGTGGTGGTGTAAGGTGGAGACATTTTGGTGTTGGATTGTTGTTATTGGTGGCAGCGGTGGCCGTTTTATCTCTGGTTTGATTTGGTTGTCTTTGTAGTTGTTGGTGATGGCTGTGGTGGTGTTGATGTTGGCGGTGCTCGCTAAGTGGTGTTGGTCTTTGTGGCGGCAGGTTGCGATTTTGTGTAGTGTATGTGGTGGCAATGGTGTTGTGATGGCAATGGCAGTGGGCCTAATGCGATGGTGGTGATTGTATGGGCTGTGGGCGTATTTCTGTTGGAGATGTTTGACATTTGTGACCTATAAAATAGGTAATATGCAAGTGATTGGTGGTGGAGCTCGTTGTCAGTGGCATTGTTGGTGCTGTTGGGGCGGTGGCAGCATGGTGAGGGTGGTCGAAAGTGGCCAGAGTAGTAGCGACGGTAGCCTATGACAAAATGTTTGATAATTTGTAGCCAATTACTCAACTATGACCTAAAAGTTTAATAATATGTGATTCAAAAATAATATGTGACCAACTAATTTAAATATCTGTGACCTCGGAATAATCTGTTACGTACAAAATTTTTGATATGTGACCTTCGAAATAATCTGTGATCAATTAATTTTAAAATATGTGACATGTGACCTATAATTACTTTGAAAATATGTGACTGTGTGACATATAAATTTTGATATNATATGTGACGATTAATTATATAACTGTGATTTTATTATATTTAATTAATAAATATATTTAATTAATTAACTAAAACCTGATTTTTGCATTAGTCAAACTTAAAACCTGATTTTTGAATTGTGTATAGTTAATCCCTGACTTTTGAACTCTTCTCTTAAATGAAAGGTGAAATTAAGTTAATCTTAGTGCGGCTAAATAGCATTACTCTACACAATTTCCATGTAAAAATGTTTGGTCATTGGCTAATGTTTGCCTGTTTTGTGGGAGATATTCCTCTACCCTCCTTTATCATAAAATTCTCCTAAAAAATTTCAAAAGGTGTTTCCATCTTTTCAAATTCAAACACTTGTTTGAGGCCCTGCTTGGTTGGAAGACTAACTGATAGACAAACCAGCAGGCGATTGCGGTATAGAAACCCCAAGAATCAATCAAGAAATTCAAAATCAGCTATCATTTTTCACAATTTTGTTCACTGAAAAAGTATTTATATGTTATTTTGCTATTCTGAAATTTTATGCCCTAGTGATTTGGGTGGTTAGAAATAATTATGTACTTTGCTGATTTGGATGGTGTTTGTTGTTGGATTAAACTCTGCATTCGGTTTTTTTTTTTTTTTAATCTACGGGTGTAAGATCTGTTTTATTATTGTTTGTTTTGTTTTGATGTGTTAAGATCTGCATTCTATTGAATTATTTTATTGATTGCTACTTTCTGCTGGTTAAGGTTTGATTTATGATTGTTTAGCGCAAAGTTTACAAATCTAGGGTTCGAAAAGTTTATCAATTTCAAGGTTGCATTCTGCAAAGTTTAATAATTCCAGGTTGATTTGCACACAAACGTTTGACCAATAGACCTATTGTTCTTCTTCCTAAATACACACATGAAAATATTGCAATATACCACTTCTTTATATAGCATTACATGAAAAATCAAATATATTATAGCAAAACAATGATGAAAACAACAACATTCACTAACATCCAATATTCAAATAACAACAAAACTAGAATTTCCACCATTCACTATTCAGATCACAACAAAATCACAAGCAATTTCCACCATTCACTATCCACATCCATCATAGTATCAATTTCTCCATATTGGCACCTTAAGTGAGCTGTGGATCTGAAGAGATAGAAATAACATTCGAGGTTTTATTTATTTTGGCCCTCTTTACTCTTTTAAGGGGTAAACTAACGGATACAGACTACGTGAGGTATTCTACATTAATGTTTCAATGATTTAGGGGGATTTAATGCCAAAATAAAATGTCGGGATATTCTACAAAATAAAATGAAATGTATGATTGAAAATGTATTATTGATCATTTTAGAAATTGTGGAATTGATTCAACTCTACATAAATTTCTTTCGAAATCAAGCTAGTATGTCAAAAATGAGCTGGAGGTAACTAGTCCTTCAAATATTAGCATAGCCACAAATATGGTAGTGGGTAATGCTGGAAAAATAGGTTCATACAATTTAGAAATATATGAATGTAAAGACGATAAAATCACGACTTACAAGTGCAATTTATCGGATAGATTTTTGACTTACCGATACAAAGAAAATAGAAGGAAATGAAAAGAGACGAGGTATGCAATTATAAATCTTCTTAAAACATATTTATTCACTTGAACTAGTGCTACTATGATCAAATAGACGTTTGTTTCACAAAATACAACAATTCTTCCGAAATTAATACAGCAGTACACTAATTTTATCGGGCGAATTAATGTTTGACTGTACTCTTCTAAAATGAAAGATATTAAATACTAAATATATAACACAAAAATTAAAAATATTTTGAAAAATATCTTGACATGTCTTGGAGAAAGAAAAACAATTAGAAATCAGTTATATTGAATATAGGTGGGTCCAATTTATAAATTTCAACATCTTTTCCCGATGATCGCATATTTGGTACAAATAATTTTAACCATTAGATCGCAATATTTCATGGTTGATAAATTAGATAGACCCTATCAAAATGTCATGACTTTTTAGTATGCACCTTTTTAGATTTGAAGAGTCGCGTCCAATCGACGCATCTTTCAGAGGCTTTTCTCATTCACACATTAAAAATCATCGACTAAAATCCTTCATAAAACCTGAAAATTGAAAGCTTAAAATAGAGCTTTCAATAAAGGAAAAAAGAAGAACATGGCTTCAAATATTTATGGAAGGATTTCAAAATTGATATCTATTTGTGTTTATTAAATAAAGTAATTGTAAGAGATAGCTAAGGCACAGAATCTATCATACCATGGTAAGTATATTATAGACATAATCCATTCTGTAGTTACTCTCCAGTGGAATAATTCCGATTGATTTATCAAATGATAACTTAGAGGATCTATTTATAAAAATAGTTGTCTAGAGATATAATAGACTACGCATAGGTGAAAATTGGTTTAAAGCCTAAATTAATGGTTCAACTTAATGGAAACCTAACCTAGTGATGGAGATCCCACATACTAGATTCAATAGGTAAACTAATTATAAATGACTCGATCAGAAGCATTTCAGAGTTTTAATTCCTTTCTATTTCTATAATGCAAAATTACAAATAAATGTTGCATAAAATTATGCTTTTAATTATGAATATATCTTGTAAATAATATAAGTGAAGTATTGTGTGGTACTATTTGTAAAACATCACCTATGTGAGTATGAACTTGGCAGGTTTTATGAGAAATTCACTTAGGTGAATTCTCAAGCGCACTTGCAGAACCCAAGAAAGTTCAAAGTCGTAATAATGAAGACAATAGCTAACCAAAGTATAAGAGATGATGTGTTTGATTTATTGTCTAGGCTTATTAACTATCGATGATGCTCAAGGGAGTCTGATATATTCTGACTAAGGAATGTTCAAAGTGCTCTTCTTCATCTTCCTTGTTTTGAGTCAACTTATTCCATTTATGCGGGGAATTGTTAGACTTTACAAATTAGTTGATGATTTTAATGTGCGTGAATGAGGAAAAACTCTAATAGGTTCATCGATTGGGTGCAATTTTTCAAGTGTAAAATAAGGAGTTATGATCTTTTGATAGGGTAACATTTAAATCATCAATTATGACTTAGTGCGATCTAATGGTTAAAATTAAGAGTTAGGCTACACTTACAGCCCTTGTACACAACTTTGTGTACAGCCCACTTATAGCCTTTGTATAGAGATTTCAAAGGCTACACTTACATTTTTGTGGGGCCCACCTCATGTAAGTGGGTTGTACACAAAGCTGTGTACAAAGGCTGTACAAACAGCATTCTCCTAAAATTAATTTGTGCCAAAAAAACACAATCATTAGGAAAAGACACTTTGAAATCTATAAATTGGACCCTCTTAGAGTTTGTTTGTGAGAGATTTTTAGGGAGAAAATTGATTTTGAATAGTGATATGATGGAAAATGTGTGGTTGAAAAAGAAGAAAAAATTATTGATGTGATGGAAAATATTATTTTATTGAAGAAAGTGTGATTGAAAATGAGAATTGATTTACTGTAGAAAAATTTAATCCCTCTCAAACAAGGCCTTAATTCCAACATGTAATAATCCAATCACAAATTGTATCTAGAAAAATATTAACAATATAGGAGTAGTTAATTGATCTGTGAACACAGGGTAATTGTATTTCAAGTGCTTCAAAATATCTACGGGAGACCTAATTCGATGAACGCTACCGTTAACACTAAAGAGTCCTGTCATCAAGTGTGACATATTTGTGTATAGTAACCATTGCGAGTTGCAGAGCTAGTTTGCAATATGTTTTAAAACACCAGCCTGCCACGTGGTAATCTACTACTATTTTTGTAACATTGCTAATCTACACTATGGTCATGTTTGATAACCCCAATTTTCCATGAAACTTGGAAATCATTTTCCATTTTCCATCTTTTAC